AAGAGAATTATTTATCTACTTCTTTCTCAAGAAGGAATGGATTCCATCTCGTATAATAACATTCCCAGCTACCTATTTCATCATGTCTCCAAAATACAAGAAATAGGATTCAGGGTCTCGAAATCCGTACCGAGTAAATCAAAAGACATAAATCCATAAATAGGAGTTTGTTAAGAACTCAGGATTAAGATCATTCTATATATGACCATCAGTAAACTCAATTAGAATTTCTATGCTTAATGGAAATTATTAGAAATTCATATTGTGTCTGTGTCTATGTTTCACATAATCTTATTATGCGTAATATACTCATTCAATATCTCACCATATTAACAGTGCGGATAGCACCGTTCCATTCTAAATGGGAATGACATGTATTAATAATGTTTTAATTAAAGATTCTGAATGGAAATTATTAGAAATTCATATTGTGTCTGTGTCTATGTTTCACATAATCTTATTATGCGTAATATACTCATTCAATATCTCACCATATTAACAGTGCGGATAGCACCGTTCCATTCTAAATGGGAATGACATGTATTAATAATGTTTTAATTAAAGATTCTGAACTTTATTTAAATTTATTATGAACAATGTTTTTTATTATTATCTTTAAACACTATCCTCTCGTATATAACACTTATATACTATGTTTAAGGTTACATAAATAATCACGGAATTTTCATTTGATATTCATAAAATATTCATAAATATATGCACATAAAATGATGAATAGACTCTTTTATTAATTAAATAATAAATATCCTATTACATCTTATGCTTCTAGGACACTATTCCCAACACGCGCCAGCACACCCCAACCAATCCGCGTGCGACACGTGGTACGTTTCTCTCATCAATGCCAATCTCATTTCGACACGTGTCACTGAGTGTTGAGTATGAATTTCTCCTTCCAAATCAGAGTAAATTAGCAAATTTCTTCCCCAAATTTCATATATGATTTCTCCAAATTTATGTGTAATTTTATTTTATTTCCCTTTCTTTTGTAATTTCCTATTTTTATTGTTTGTTTCTTTATTTGACAGGCAACCTCTGAACACTATAAATAGAGGGGTTGGCCTAAGGTTTTAAAAAGTTTTTAATATTCAGTTTTCTGTCGTCTTGCTGTCAGCCTCATATTTTCTCTCTAGAACTTGTGAGAATGTTTTGCAAGCTAGATTAGAGTTCTCTTGGTGAGGTTAGAGATGAACTTTTGTTAAGCGGCCCAATTCTGGGTTTTGATTCCTTGTGCTGTAAAATTCAACATCTGAATGAATTAAATCTCATCTATTTTTGTATTACTTTTCAAAATATTGTGTGCCAATTTTTATATAAGTTCAGTCACGATTTTCTTATGTAATTATGTCACACATTGTTTTATTATTCAAATTATTTTGTAAATTATCTTTTACTGCAATATTGTCAAATTGATATATTGTCGATTTTGGATAACTTGTAATAATAATATTTTCGGAGTCAACATAGAGATTTAATTTATTCGGTCCTTTTATTTTGTGAATCAAAACTTGAATTGGTGAATGAAGCATTAGGGATTCTCGACACCTTACCGTTTTTGTTATTAAATTTCTTCCACACAAATCTTCTCTATTTTTTATTTGCAACAAAAATCTCAAAAACTCTTCTTTTTCTTTAATTCACTTTTCTCTGACGCTCTTATTCTGTTAGTCATTCTTGTTATTTTGTTATCTCTCTGTGGATACGACCATCCTTCTGTACTACAATTGACCGCTTGTGAACATCACTTTTGGGCGTTAATCAAATTTTAGCGCCGTTGTCGGGAAGGTGCTACTAGCAAGACTGATCAGTAGATTTTTGAGGTAAAGAGGTAAGTGCATTTTTTTTTTATTTTGTTGCGAGTTTCAAAAAAAAAGGTTACCGCAAGTTTCCACATATTCATCTATACGCCCACGTATTCATCAAGTTTCAAAAACTTTTGTTCTTTTTTTTCTTTTTTTTATTCCACCGTCCCTTATTCAAAACCAAAAAAAAAAGTGACATTTTTCATTTTTTTTATAGTTTTTGTTTTAGCTTTCTGTAGTCTGCGTCTGTGTTCACCCTTTGAGCATTTGTTACCTTTTTCATTTTTTTTTATTTCCGTAGTTTTATAGTTCAAAAAAAAAAAAAAACTCACACTTTTAGGATTTGTTTTAATTGTTAATTTTATTTTCCCTTTCAGTTTTAAAATTGATTGTGATTTGATTTTGTAATATTTTATTTTTGATAGATTAGGATTTTATTTTGTTTCCATGTTTGAGTAATTTAATTGTTAACTATTATATTGTTGCCTAATTTAATTTTTCCTTTTATAGTTTACATTAATTCGTAGGATTGTAATTAGGATTGTAATTAGGATTGTAATTAATTGACGATTTCTAATCTAGGAATTTCATAATTTGGTAGATTTAGGCTTTTGACCTTAGGAATAGTTTCCATTAATTAAATTTCATTTCATAATTTATTCAATAAAATTTAATAATTGATTTTGAGGATAATTGTATGGTTACGTGGAAATTACAATCTGAGTGAGTTCTGTCTAGGAAAGTTGGTATTTAAGTGGGCCTCGCCCCACCAATCTTTCCTGGGAACGTTGCTATGTCTAGGAGACTATTCATTGAGCCAAGAGCTATAGTCTTTTCTAGGAGCACTCTCGGTAGTTACAATTTACGTTGCTATATAATTATTTTCTTTTCTTTTGATTAAAAATTAACACAAAAAAAATTAAAAACAAATTAAAAAATAAAAAAAACCGCCTTGGGTGAATGCATCGGTATAGAGACGAGCTAGGGAGATTCGCTCCCCTAGTGAAATTCTATCCGACTCGTCTTCTACGCCTCTGTCTTCACACTCGTCGTTGGAATTTGCATTTGAAAATCTATTCGCAATGGTACAACACGAGGAAGTTCAGCAGAGGACATTGCAAGATTACTTGCACCCAACGCCGGCCACCCCATCTTGCATCATGTTCCCACCGAATGCACCACCTACGAATTTCAAGCCGGGCATGATTGCACTTCTCCCAACCTTTCATAGGTGAGAGAACGAGAACCCCTATGTACACATCCGGGAGTTTGAAGAGGTGGTGGCCACCTTTCACAGCCGTGCTGAGGCCGCAAACACCGTCAGATTAAAGTTTTTCCCTTTCTCTCTGAAGGACAAGGCCAAAAGCTGGCTGTATTCTCTTAGACCCAAGTCTATTAGTACGTGGGAAGAAATGATGATGACATTTTTCAATAAGTATTTCCCACACCATAAGACCAATAATTTGAAATGACAGATTTCAAATTTCGCTCAGAAAGAAAATGAAACTCTCTATCAAGCTTGGGAGTGTTTTAAAGATTTGTTAAATCTGTGTCCCCACCATGGATATGAAAGTTGTCACCTCGTAAGCTATTCTATGATGGACTCACAATTCGAGAGCGCCAATTTGTTGAGATGACGTGCAATGGGGATTTTCTCCAAAAGGATCCTGACGAAGCTATCGAGTACTTGAATGAGTTAGCTGAGAAAGCTCATACTTGGACTGGACTGAGTGCTACTAAGAGCACCAGTAGGTCCCGACCAGTTGGAGTTTATCAATTAAGGGATGAGGACAGCCTCAAGGCCCAAGTTGAAGCTTTGACGAAGCAAATTGAGGCCCTCAAAAGTAAAGATAGTAAAGGACCCTACATCGTGGCATGGACAGAGGCACATAAGCCTTGTTTAGTTTGTGGTGGAATGGGCCACCTAACTCAGGATTGCCACACTTTAAGTTAAATGAGAGGGGTATATGAGGAGAAGTGCAATGCATTGGGCACATACAAGAAGCCTTATGGACCTTTCTCAGAATCTTACAATCCTGGTTGGAAACACCACCCAAACTTCAGTTGGAGAGATCCAACCCAACATGCACAATCATCTGGAGGGCAATGGAAATCAGAGCAACAATCTCAACCACCAAGGACATATTTTGCGCCTCAGAATAACATGCAGCCAAAAGGGAATTCTTTAGAGGATACCTTAAAAGCTTTTATGGACATGCAAAATAAAATGAATCAAAGGGTTGATTTGATGCTTACGTAGCTGGTGGAAGAGAATAAGGAAATAAAAAGTCAGATCACAAAGCTGACAGAAGCTTTAACCGTTCAAGAGCGCGGTAAATTTCCATCACAAGCCCAGTCCAATTTGAGAGGATAAAACACATGGCTCAAACTTCCAACTCTGAAGGTCAAAATATCAAGGAAGTTAACGTCATCTCTACTCGAAGTGGTAAGAATTTGGACACGCCATCGACAAGTAGTACCACTTCGAGTAATGAAGAATCGGCTCAGGAGAAAGAAGAGCCAACTAAAATTCCGGTAAAGGTGCCTTTTCCCCAAGCTCTCCGACCTATTGGGAAAGTGCCGGAAAATCAAACTGAGATCCTGGAACACTTGACACAATTGAAGATCAATCTACCCTTACTACATGTGATCAAGCAAGTTCCGGCATACGCCAAGGTTATAAAGGATCTGTGCACCATAAAGAGAAAGCACCATGTTAAGAAGACTGCATTCTTGACGGAACAAGTAAGTGCGGTGATTGAGCAGAAGACACCGCCGAAGTATAAGGATCCAGGTTGTCCCACCATTTCTTGCCAGATCGGGACACATGAATTCAGCCAAGCATTACTAAACCTAGGATCGAGCGTTAACCTCATGCCTTATTCAGTTTACTCGCAATTGGGTCTTGGAGAGATTAAGCCCACATCTGCGGTTCTGCAACTGGCCGATAGATCCATTAAGAGACCACGAGGAATAGTGGAGGACGTTCTATTGCCATTCGATAAGTTTTATTACCCCGTGGACTTTCTTGTCTTTGATACACAATCCGTGGTTAATATGGAGTCAATCATTCCTATCATTCTAGGAAGACCTTTCCTTGCCACATCAAACGCACTTATCAATTGTAGGAATGGTCTCATGAAGATATCTTTCGGGAATATGACCCTTGAGGTGAATATTTTTCATATTCAAAAGCAACCATGTGATGACGACGAGTGTCAGCAAACATTCATGATCGACACACTTGTCGAGGAGGAGGTTCAACTGCAAAGCAACTCCGAAGATCTTGAAAACCTCCTCCAAAATTCTAATTCTGAAAATTCCGGTTCTGCTGAGTTGGCTCATTTGTCTGTAATTTTCAACAACTCACAGGACAGAGGAACTAAGTTTAGGCCACCATGTTTTGAGGAGCTCCCAATAGAAGGAGAAAAACCGAAATCATCCACCGAGAAAGCTCCAAAAGTCAAGCTAGCCTAACCACCTGAGGGCTTAAAACATGCGTTCTTGGGAGATGAAAGCACATTCCCAGTCATCATCTCATCTAAACTCGAACCATTGCAAGAACAACGATTGATCGACATGCTGAAAGAGTGCAATTCTAGGATCAAGGTAAAAATGAAAGCGGCTCATGACAAGCAGATCCTGAGGAAGAACTTCGAGCCAAATCAACGGGTTCATCTCTATGATTCTCGTCTGCATCTCCACCCCGGTAAGTTGAGGTCGCGGTGGACTGGCCCGTACGTAGTGAAACACGTTTTTCCCAATGGTGTTATCAAGGTTGAGGACCCGACCGATGGGAGGATCTTCAAAGTAAATGGCCAGCGTCTGAAGAATTACTTAGAATGGGTGAACCAGGTTGAAGAGATCATTCTCGACGACCCCGTTTATCAGCCCTGAGTAGTTTGCTCACATCTCATGTACCATATTTTCATTATTTGCTTCTTTTTACATTTTTTGTGTTTTTTAGAGAATCATATCAAGAAGCTCAAGCTGTGCTCATATGTGGAATGTTCATCGTCCATGTGTATTCTTTCTCTATATTTTCATAATTTTTGACACTGAGGACACTGTCTGATTTTAGTTGGGGGTGGTGAGCGTATTCATGTGTAAGAGTGATTTTTGTCATGTTGATATTTGGGTTAAAGTTTTTGCGAAGTTATCTGAGTATGATTTCAAAATGATTGGTTTGAGTCAATTTTTGCTGTCTTGGTTACTAAGAAATGACTTTCAAAGTTTCTTTTTGCACGTGCTAAACCTTGTGGTAAGATGGATATTAATGCATGTCAGCTGAAAAAATTCCCAAGTTTAAGTGCTTGATTTTTGGTAAGTAGAGTAAACGACTTTTGAACTTTCATTGATCTTTTGAGCTGGTAAAATCACTACTAGAACATCATTACATGGTTAGTGGTATGCTTGGTGCATATGCTTAAGGGATGGATTTTGGGTTAGACAGGAATGATCTTTAGATAGGAATGATCTTATGTAATAGAGCCTCATTTCTTATTTTTCTATTAAAAAAACTGAGCAAGAGCAACATTTCACATATCCAGTAGTTTGGTGTTAGTCACATTCGATGTTATATAGCTGTTTGTTAAAAGAACACCTTTCTACATTCACTTCAGGTTGTCTCTTGCCTAAAAAAAACAGCAACAAAAAAACAAAGAAAAACAAAGAAAAAAGAAAAAAAAAAGTAAGTTATTTTTCTTATGCTTTTTTTTTTTTTTGCTCTTTGTTCGTTTCTGTAAATTTCTGTTTGACCCGAATGAAATCCCAAAAGCTGGTTTGTGGTAAGAATGGTGGAATGTTCTAGTTGTTTATTAACCTATCTTTTGATCAATGTTCGTTTGATCGTTTGTCCTAAATTTTACCTTCCTCACACTGAGCGTTGATTGTTCAATTTCCAACTCCATGAGAGAAAACCTTTGCACTCAAATATTTATGACACCTATGAGATGAATGGAGTTGAAACTTCTACTTGGTGAATTTTTCAAAGCTGCATGTGTTATGGTCAGTGGTAAAAAGGTTATGGTTTGGAGCATACACACACGACTCTGGAGATATGACTGAAATAATCTTGATAGTACGTATTGACTTTTTACTTACACTTTGAAATACTCAGGTGACTAAGCTAGTTGAGACTCATATTTTGACATAATTTTTCTTGCACTTGGATTGCTAGAGACTAGCAATAAGCTGGTTGGGGGTTGTGATTAGTGTATGAAAATGCACATTAAATACTACTTTTGATTATATAATATTAAAATATTTAAGCTTTAATTAAACAATTTCATTATTTTTATTCAGAATATTTTTTATTAGAATTTGTTTAGTTGTTGCTTGATTATTTACATATAAAAAGTAGTGTCAAAAGCTACACAAAAATAAGCCATTAAAGTCATATTTTTAACCACCCGAGCCAAGCCATCCAGCCGAGCCTCACAAGCCAAAAAGTGAGAAGAGCCGCGTCAGCCGTTTGAGCCACTGAGCCAAGCCACGTGTGGGTCCCAGTTTGTGATAGCCTGCCTGCAACACTTCCAGCGCGCGTCACTTGTACGGGAGTTCCTCAGCGTGCGCGTTCCTTCCACGCAACCATCACCGCGCGTCCAAGCTTCCCTCTGCGTGGGTCTCGCACGACAGCAGCAGACCTGCTGCCTTCTCCGCGTCCGCCACCTGTCCAACGCGGGTCCGCCACTCTGACCGCGCCAGCACACGCCAACCAATCCGCATGCGACACGTGGCACGTTTCTCTCATCAATGCCAATCTCATTTCGACACGTGTCACCGAGTGTTAAGTCTGAATTTCTCCTTCCAAATCAGAGTAAATTGGAAGATTTCTTCCCCAAATTTCATATATGATTTCTCCAAATTTATGTGTAAGTTTATTTTGTTTCCCTTTCTTTTGTAATTTCCTATTTTTATTGTTTGTTTCCTTATTTGACATGCAACCTCTGAACACTATAAATAGAGGGGCTGGCCTAAGGTTTTAAAAAGTTTTTAATATTCAGTTTTCTGTCGTCTTGCTGTCAGCCTCATATTTTCTCTCTAGAACTTGTGAGAATGTTTTGCAAGCTAGATTAGAGTTCTCTTGGTGAGGTTAGAGATGAACTTTTGTTAAGCGACCCAATTCGGGGTTTTGATTCCTTGTACTGTAAAGTTCAACATCTGAATGAATTAAATCTCATCTATTTTTGTAATACTTTTCAAAATAATGTGTGTCAATTTTTATATAAGTTCAGTCACGCTTTTCTTATGTAATTATGTCACACATTGTTTTATTATTCAAATTATTTTACAAATTGTCTTTTACTGCAATATTGTCAAATTGATATATTGTCGATTTTGGATAACTTGTAATAATAATATTTTCGGAGTCAACATAGAGATTTAATTTATTCGGTCCTTTTATTTTGTGAATCAAAACTTGAATTGGTGAACGAAGCATTAGGGATTCTCGACACCTTATCGTTTTTGTTATTAAATTTCTTCCACACAAATCTTCTCTACTTTTTATTTGCAACAAAAATCTCAAAAACTCTTCTTTTTCTTTAATTCACTTTTCTCTAACGCTCTTATTCTGTTAGTCATTCTTTTTATTTTGTTATCTCTCTGTGGATACGACCGCCCTTCTGTGCTACAATTGACCGCTTGTGAACATCACCTTTGGGCGTTAATCAAATTTTGGCACTGTTGCCGGGGAGGTGCTACTAGCAAGATTGATCAGTAGATTTTTGAGCCAAAGAGGTAAGTGCATTCATTCATTGATAAATTATTTGTAATTTGATTCGGGATTAGAATTATTGTAATTCTAGGTTTTGGGTAGAATTAGGGTTTTGATTTTGAATCAAAAGGAGGCCTTGAAGATCAAGTTTGAAGCCTTTGAAGATGCCCAAAAAATTACCAAAAATCACCCAAAGGGCGCGCCCAGCGCGCGGCCTGCGCGCCCCAGCGTACGCTCCAGCGCAAGGCCAGAGCGCGCCCCAGTGCGCGGCTAGCACGTGCTCTAGCACGCGGACAGTCCGTGCGGGTGCGCGGTCAGACCGCGAGGGCGCGCACAGCGTACGGTAACCCCGCGCACGCGCGCGGGCACCCAGGCGCGCAGCTGGGGCCCATATTCGGCAATTTGACCCCAAATGGACCCGAGGATTTCTTAAACCCTCGTAATGCATGCCGACGGACCCAGAAAAGTTCTGGACTCCAAGGAAGGTGAAATCCAACCCGAAGACAAAGAATGAAGTCGAAGAATAAAGAACTCAAGAATCGAAGACCCGTTGATGTAACGGAAGAATATAATTATTGTAATTATTTATTT